AATAGCAACTTGATAACTTTAGTTCTTTATTATAACAACAGAATCATAGGTTTAGAGTAAAATATCCTCACTTTACAGGTCAGGAAACTGAGGCTCCAAAAGATTAATACGACTTACTGTCACATGGGTGCTAAGTGGCAGTCATTTCATGATTTAATGGTCATAGAAAAATTTATTCATTCAAGAATGGTACTGTACTGAATTTGGACTTAGGAGGATATGAGTTCTAACTGTGGCTCAGCTAATCACTTTCTGTGACCTCCAGTAAATGAATTCATCTCTTTACATCTTAAGTTTCCCTAACTGCAAAATGAGAGGGCTGGTCTTGATCACCTTCCAGCTCCAGTCACTTGAAATGCTTATTGTATTGCTACTCTATATAAGACACTATGCCATGTAAATATTACAATGTTTGTGCCTACTTCCATTTTGAGATAAGAGGTTCTTTGCTTGCTTATTTAGTGAAAGATTTATTCTTTGTTGTATAAGTAAAAACAAGACAGCTGAATGATAAATACCTAAGCAGAAATCCATACAAGTGACTCTAAAATGAAGAGCCAGAGAAACTGCCAGGAGAACTGATAATTGGTTGTCTTGTTCATATTTTTAATGAACTTGACCAAGAACAGAAAATTCTGCTAGTTTACTCTTATTTCCTTTGAGTCCAAATTTTAAAAAGTAGCCATCTGTATTGTGTCTTTCAAGGCAAGTACCAAGCACAATTGATCACAATGCTACCTATTTGAATACACAGTACTGTAGTACAGAAACATAAATACACAAATCTCACTAATTGAGACCACAGTTGGGAATTTGTGATAGTTCAAACATGAGTCAACCTGAAGTCAATGTTTGCATTCTCGGTAAGGGGAACAAAACAGGATTCTGAAATAAATGAAGAAGAGATTAAAAAGACTTAGGGAAAGATAATTTAAACCATTTAAAGCACTTTAGAACTATCCACACATAAAAAGGGCAAATCAGGAAGATGTCTTGTCATTAAAGGAAGTCTGTAGGAGTTCTGTTTACTCACTAATTTTCATTATGTGCTTATTCTCATAAATAGTACAACCAACATTTCTCTTTGAAAATATTCTGTAGTTGAGACTTTTCTCTAATTCAGACAGAACTCCCTACCAATTAAGCAAAATCAATGACTTTCCATTGAATTTGTACATTACCCTGAAAAGAAATGCCTTTAGATATTTTAGGAAGTATGCCACTGACAAACTTAATGAGGCTTTATTTATTACACTGAGACAGTACACTGTTAGCACAACAAATTTAATGTATTTTTTCCCAAGTGTATGACAACATCATGGAGCAGCTGAAGCACTAGAATCATTTGGCTAGCTCAGTCTCTCATTAGTCAATCCATTTAGCATGTCTAAATGGATTGGCCAGGAAGGTCATTTCTGTTTTCTCTTAAAATATAATCCATTTGAGGAATTGGGAAAAGGTGCAGCTTCACCTTATTATTCAAGGAATATGTTCTATCGATACACATAATTATCCATAAAACTTCTTCCAGGAGGGGAAAAAAGTTAAAGTAAGCAATGCTACTTTTTAAAAATCAATTTACTGTATGAATATTTTAAGCTACTATGAAATAGCAATTTTTCTTCCTTGTAAATTATTTCACACTAAAATGGATGACAGTAAAGGCACAGAGGTAGAGCACAATGTGACTAGATAAGAGAGACAAAGAGCACCAATTATTAACTTGCAGAGCTAAAACTGTTTTAAACTATATCTTCTCAGGACTATTAAACACATCACTTACTTGGACTTAATGAACTGGTCTACTCAGTCAAACAGTTAGCTTGCCTGAGTATTTCCTATGAAGTAACAACTAATAGGTTCTTTAAATAGAATTGATCTAATTGATTAGTTAGGTTGGAAGCAACATAAGTCGATTCAGGACTGAGATAATTCCAAACAACACAAATGCAATGGCATTAGGGGAGTGTCGCATCATGTAGAGGTGGCACTCTCATTTAACAGCGTTGTTCTGTAACGTACATGACTGCAATTAACAAACGTGGAGTCAGGACTGTCACAATTTCTTTAATTGCTCACTAATATCAAGAAATTTTTAAAAACAATGATCGGGCCTATGTGTATTCATTAATCATTTTCACAATCTCATTTCCAAGCCAGGTCAACATTTCCTTCTTTTATTCTACAGTTAATAATTGGCCTTGGTGTGTATATCTGTGTGTTAATTGCTGACCTTCTCCTTAAACTACAGCAGCAATACTGCTGGTATGAGGGGGGCACAAGGATGTCAAACATCCAGGATCTTTAAACACAATCCTAAAGAATTTATGCTTCAGCATGAGTGTTACCACAGATAAGAACATGAATGAGACTTGGCTTCAAATCCTACCGGAGTCACTTACTTGCTCAATTGTCATGGAGAAGTCTCAGAGCCTCAGTTCATCTGGAAATAGGGATAATTATTCTTGCTCTATGACCACATAGGGATTGTGAGGAAAATGTTCTGCAAACTCTAAGGTGCTACAAAATATTGGTACTCATCGTTATTACAAAATTCCTTGCCTTGGGTTCCATTTAGGCAATGGTCATGTGGTACATCCTCTTTTTTTTTTTTTAATTTGCATTTAGTAAGGCAGCAATAAAGCACAAAATACACTAATCTTCTGGCTAACATTACCCTAAAGTAGCTTTGCCAATTAAAGTCACCCAAAGCAACATGTGGATATATTTTTTATTTAATATTTTATTTTTCCCAATTACATGTAAAAACAATTTTAACATTCTTTTTTTATTATTTGAGTTGCAAATTCTCTCCCTCCTCTCTCTCATTGAGAAGGCAAGCATCTGACATAGGTTATACATGTGTAGTCATACAAAACACATTTCCATGTAAGTCGCTCTGTGAAAGAAAACAGACACACACACAAAAAAAGAAAAATAAAGAAAAAGTATCTTTGATCTTCATTCAGGCTTTACCAGTTCTTTCTCTGGAGATGGACAGCACCTTTCATCATAAGTCCTGCAAAATTGTCTTGGATCATTGTATTGCTGAGAATAGCTAAGTTATTCAAAGTTAATCATCATACAATATTGCTGTTACTGTGTACAATGTTCTCCTAGTTCTGCTCATTTCACTTTGCATCAGCTCATGTAAGTCTTTCCATGGTTGGGTTTGTTTTTTTTTTTTTTTTGGAGAGCATCCTGCTCATCATTTCTTAAAGCACAATAATATTCCATCACAATCAGATGCCACTTGTTCAACCATTCCCCAATTGATAGACATCCCCTCAATTTCCAATTCTTTGCCACCACTAAAAGAGCTGCTATAAATATTTTTGTACATACAGGTCCTTTTCCTTTTTGTTTTTTATCTCTTTGGGATACAGACTTAATAATGGTATTACTTGGTCAAAGGGTATGCCCAATTTTATAACCCTTTGGGCATACTTCCAAATTGCCCTCCAGAATAGCTGAATCAGTATCTAACTTCACCAATAGTACATTAGTGTTTTAATTTTCCAACATCACCTCCAAGATTTGTCATTCTCCTTTTCTGTCATATTAACCAATCTGACAGCTGTGAGGTAGTAGCTCAGAGCTCTTAATTTGCATTTCTCTCATCAAAAATGATTTAGAGCACTTTTTCATGATTTCTGATTTTGATTACTTTGTCTAAAACTGCCTGTTCATGTCCTTTGACCATTTATCAATTGAGGAATGGCTCTTATTTCTATAAAGTTGACTCAATTTTCTGTGTTTGAGAAATGAAGTTTTCATCAGAGAAACTCACTGTAATTTTTTTTCACAATAATGATTACCAACGATATAATTCCCTCCATCCTATTTTCCCCCTGTTTATTCTATTTATCCTATTTTCTCTCCTTTTATCCTGTTCATTCTCAAGTGTTTTGGTTCTGACTTTTACCTCCCTAAACTGCCCTCCCTTCTATCACCTCCCTCCCCAACCCCCCCACTCCCAGCCCTTCTCTTATCCCTTTCCCTTCCTACTTTCCTGAATGGTAAGATAGATTGCTATACCCAATTGAGTATGTATATTATTCCCTCTTAGAGCCAATTCTGAAGAGAGTAAGGTTCATGTGCTCCCCCTCCCTGCTTCCCCCATTTTCCTCTCCATTGTAAAATCTCTTCCATAGCTCTTTTAAGTCAGATAATGTATCCTATTCTACCTCTCCCTTTCCCCTTCTCCCAGTGCATTCTTCTTTCTCATCTACATTTTTAAAGCTAGTACATATTCAAGCTAGACTGAGTGACCTGGAGCTCAAGCCAGGTAATACTATCCATGTCTACTACCCACATCTCTCATTCCACAATGCTAAATAGAATCATCAACAACACCATGGTGCACCTTTCTGCTACCCTTTGCTCCCACCTCGATTCTGCAGCAGGCACACCTGGAAGAACCCAAAGAGCAGAATAGAGGTATCATGGCCATGACAAAGTCAAAGTCAGCTACATTCCTTACGTTCTTTTTTTTTTTATCTTGTTAACCATCTTGCCAGGAATCAATGAAATTTATTCATGCTCACATTTGGAATTAAACAAGCTAAATCAGAACAAGTGGTCTTCCTGTTTAACAGATTCAAGCTATTTGTCTAGCATATAGAATGCTTACTGAGAGACTAACTGATAAAAAGACTGTCTCTGGAGAATTATTTTCTTTTTCACAGTATTCAAGGCTAAATAACAGAACAGAATGCAAACTGTATTGATATAAAGTTCGTAGTAATATTTTAACTATACCACATTAAAAAAGAGAGAAATTAGCACTTTTTTGTTGTCAAAAACAGTTGGACAAGACATATAACATACAAAAATAAGCAAAATATTACTTATATATGACTTCAAAATTAAAATCAAAGACACTGGTATTTAAAACATCACATAATCTCATATCCCATTTGATTTGAAGTAAATGGAATAAAAATATTTGGAGATTATATATATATATATGTATACATATACATACACACATACACAAATAGTATCTTCAACAAAAGGATTTTAAACAACAAAAAAATGACAAAAGGTTTTGTTCTTTTTTTTCTTTTAAAGAACATCTCATTCTAAACAAGACAAGAAATAAACTACTTTATGCCCTTAAAAGCATACCAGTTCACTCAGGATGTCATAACTTCTGTCATCCAAAGGAAATACATAGAGTTATATGGAATATGTAACAATTAATGCCTTAGCTTCTTGAGGATGGGATATTTCACTTTTCACTTTTGTGTGCCTGGTTTTTTAACACAGTGCCGATAATACAGAAGGCTCTTAAAAAATGTTTGTAGATGGACTGATCGATTAGCTTTTTAGATTAGTCATTGAAATAAAAAAGGTCAGACAGGCTGGGGAAAATAACACCTAGGGAATTACAATATTTAATTGTGTGAGGTGTAGTAAATAAGATGTGTTCAGTCTCAGTCCTCTGGAGCGAGTCAAGTATGTGGGAAAATCCCAGAATTACATATTAAAAAATGTATAGGAGCAATCATCTCTAAATGTCACATATAGGACCAGGCATCTATGATAGTAATGCTGCATAACAAACCTAATATCGAGTCGCAAAGCCAGTCTCAGTTAGCCAGAGGTGAAGCATAAAACCTCTAGACATCTCCTGTGGGTCCAAGATGATGGTCTTTGAATTTTGAATAGCAAAGTGGCCCCAATGTGAGCAGGTAAAGGAACAGGAAATAACACAAACTGACATTGGTTTGAGGGTGACAAGATATGAATCTAATCAAATGATACAATAAAATTATTTCTTTCCATGCTTACTTATACTAAGATTTACAGGTAAAAGGGTATTTTTTTTTAATGGGAACTAGGCTACAATCATTTACAAAGGAAGAAGGTGTTTCCCAATTAGGGATAGGGATAGGAACCAGACCTATGATTTCACTGGTATAGAGAATTCTGTATTAAGGAAACTCTCTATACCAATGGAATGTTGGCACTTTCTATGCAATTTAAGAGTTTAAAGAGTTGCCTGGACCTCTGAGAAGCTGGGTAACTTAAGTGGGGTCACAGAGCCACTATTCATCAGGGGTAGGAAGGAATTCAACCCTAATCTTCCTGGATTCAAGGCCAATTCTCTAGTTGGTATGATTATGCTGCCTCTCTCAACTTAATAAAATAAATTTTCACTAAGAAAGACCCAGGATCCTTTAAATTATATATATATTTTTTCCAAATGCACATGCTACATTTTGTTATCCCTTCAAAAATATTGCCATATTTTATTAAGACACATGGCAAAGGCTTTCCCTTTAATGATATCTTTGGTTGATTTTTTAAAAAATGTGCAAGTATCTAATAAGGATTTTTGCCAGTATCTGTTTGGTGTGTTCTTTGAAGACTAGCATAAAGCTAAGATTTTCCTAACACTGGGGAATACCCTGCGGAGCATCATTTTACTAAAAAAAAGTGTTAACATCTGCATATCCAAATAGTAAAAATACTTCTGCTTTTCACTAATGTTGTGAAATAATCACAGCATGGAAATATGCCTGCCACCCTGGAATAAGAATACACTATTTATGAAGTAATTTATTGAGCACAGGGATGGCATCATGTTTCTACTGCATTGTATTTCATTCTTTAAAGCAACAACAAGAAGAACCATATGCCCTTAAAAGAATGCACAAACAATCTTGAAATGTGCAACTGTGAACACAGCTTCCCAGGATTCTTCATTACTAAATGATTTTTCTTTTGTTGGCTTGAAATTTCCTGAATTAAATAAAGCATTTTAAATATGATTAATGACATTTTGTTTGACAAGTAGTATTATTACAATGATTCTGTACCATTGAATAAACAGTGCTGGAGGAGGGTGGAGCTCACAAAACTTGCCCAAATGAAGCCCCCTAGACTAAATTCACAAATGTTACCATATAGAAGAAAATATAATCAAAATATAATCAGTAAAGAAATTGGAGCAAAATTGGTGAAAAAATAGTCAGAATGAATTTATTCATTCCTCTCAGCACAAAAAAGAAATATGAAGAGAACTAAGGAGCTTTGATTAAACAGAGGTTATGAATGTGTCACAAAGCAGCAGAAAAAAAGCACAATGAGATCAAGGTGGGAAGAGTGCAAAACAAAATCACCATGATTCACTTTTCAGGGAGGACTACATACTCTTCTATGGAAATAGACATCATGACATTTTCATTTTTCACTAAAATTCATGTTTCCTCTACATAATTTGTTATAAAAAATACAAAAGTGTATTGCAAATTTCTGGGTCTTTTTATGAAGCAAGAAAAATGTGTACATCCATGGTATAGCTAGAAGTTAATTTTACCTTTAACTGGAGCATTAATTGACACTGGCATCACTCTTTCTGTGCCTGGTTCTTTGGTTATTCTTGTGTACTCCATTGTGATCTTCTGATTTTCTGCATGAAATTTAAACAAAAAAAGAAAGACAACCATTATACACTTACTCTATATAACCTATATAAGATCATTTATCATATAAGGACATCATTTAATATTATATAAATAGCATCAAAGCATAAATGAGCCCTCCACAAACTACTTCCACCATGAAATGAAGGTGGTCCAGGCCCCTAAGCTAGACAAGCTTCATTTAATGGCTTGGTGACATTATGTTGACTGAGGACCAGATTGGCTAAATTTACAGTGATGCACAATTTAATAAAGATGGTCTTCACAGCAATTCATTTGACCAATGAAACAGTTTGACATCTGTCTATTGAATACCAAGAAAGTATTTGATTGTATGCCATAAAACACACCGAGAAGTTGTCCTTAAGAACCCTCTTAGGCTCATACTGGAAGATAGAATTTTTCTTCAAACTTCTACAGATCAGACTTTGGCTAGAAAAAGTGTGTTGAGCACATATCAATGGAGAAACCAACAGATACATATTGAGGATTATTCCAATAATTCTGAACTTCTGAAGTGAAACACACTTACTCCAAATACTATGTAGCCAGAGAATTTCTACAAGTGGAAGTTTTATCTTTCAAAGCTGGTAGAGAGAAGAGAAGACGGTAGAAAAGATTATTAGTAGACTCTTACCCCATACCCATTCTGGGTTATGGAATTGTCTTGAGCTCCTTAAGACTGTCTACATGATGAGACCATGGCCACAACTAGTAAACAGTTATGGTCATCTGGAGTTGAGTAGAATAAATCTAGGCAAGTGAATACACATCTTTTGAATTTATTGAATGAACTAGACATTTTAGTGTTGTGAAGATATTATTTTTGGTACAAGCTATCAAAATTTATAATGGTACTAATTATGTGTAATGACCAATATAAGCTAAATATGTATAGATTTCAACACCTCTTCACTAAAATAATTATGGAGGAAAACAGAAAAGTTGTATCATTTTAACTTTTATAGTTTGAATCATTAGCAAAAGAATTATTCAAATTCAAGTTTTATGGGGGTTTTTTTCCCTTGGTTCTTAGATATTGGATCCCTGAATACAATAGTGACAGTTTGGGAGAGATCATGAACCTTCTGTTTATACTGATTAAATATTTATAAAGTAAAAACTGAACTATCACATGTGAAAATTATCATGAGAATTTGTTTACTCAGAAAAAGAGTAAAATAAATAATATTTGGACTCACTATTCTATTCATGTCCATTTTCCATTCTTATTTGTTTCATGAGTTGAACTAACCAATAATTTTAACATTTGTTGGTCAACCTTTGGGTGAAGAGTCTTTAGTGAAGTAGCAATCACATTAAATGCTCACTTTTTTCTCAGCTACATCATTTCATATAACTTCATATTAATACTTACAGCTGTTCGACTTGTTCAAAATCTTTTCCACTTTCTGTGTTAAAAAAAAAAAATTTAAATCTTAGGATTATTTTATGATTTTTTTTTAAGGATCATGTATGATCAGTTTTCTATAAATGGATTTCTCCAAAGTATGTGAGAGCTGATCAACATTTTTCAAGTTATAAATAATTTCAGTTATGATGTTTCACAATTTTCCAATGAAAAGAAAAGGTGTAATTGACAACACTTGACATACAAAAAATTTGTTTTTCAAACTATTTAAGTTCATGTATATACACTATATTTAAAAAGTAAAACTGACATAAAAATTTTTTATTCTCCTAAGTCTTTTACTTAATTAAAAATATGTAACTTAAATAGATTAAGAATGACTGGTTTTCATTTTGCAACATTATGTCATATAGAAGGACCATCACAAAATTCATTGACATATTCTATCGCATATATTTTTATATACCATAAAGTATGTGGCTCATTTAGGGAACAGTGAGGCCAAGTAAAAATAGAAAGTATTCTATAAAATTATAATATATATCACATGTATACACATACATATGTATGCATGTATACACACATATACACATATGTGTGTGTGTATGCTGGTATAGAATAAAAAGCTATTAATGTTTATAATGGCCACTTCTGGGAGTAAAATAAGGGTAATTAAAACTTTTAAAACTTTACTGTGCACTGATGGGACATAACAAAGTATTTTGGAATTACATTCCTACCTGTGGCTGTCTGTCTCCTTTTGGTATATAGCTCATAGAGAAAAATACCAGTCACTAAAATAACAACTTCAGCAGTTACTGCAAGAAATGGTTTGAGTGGCACCAGGAAGGTTAGCACTTTGAGGTTCTGTTTTCCTTCACTCTCTCCTAGGCGGAATATCGCACGGCACCAGTACAGTCCACTTTCTGTTGCTTGAAGATGCTTTATCTTAAGCTTTGTTTCATTATATTTGGATGGTAGAATTTCATACTTGCTTTTCATCGTAATGTCAATGGGTACCTAATATAAGGAGATATTCCAATCACACGTATAAGAATTACGTGGGTAGAATTTTTTGGTTTGAGTGATTATTTTTAAATCAGACCTATGATTTCATCTGGGAAGGGATTTCTAGTGAGGAATTTCCTCTACCAAAGCAGACTGGTACCCACTCTTCAGGTTTAGCTTATTAACTTAGATTGGTCTGGGACCTTAAATGACTTGCCCAGCATCAGACAAATCCTCCCGACTCCAAATCTAGTTCTTTATCAGTTTCATCATACTGCCTCTCACAAAACATATCTACACATATGAACTGTTTGGGTGAGATATTCTCAAGAAAAATATGTTATAGAAAAAAATCAAGTAGCCATCTGAATCTTTCAAAGCAAATGATCCCACTGAAAGCAGGACCATCCCTCCAGTTTCACAAGTTCATAACTTGAGCATAGTCCTGGACTTCTCACTCTCCCTCACCTTATATGTCCAATCAATCATTAAGTCTTATAGTTTCTACCTTCAAAACATCCTTCACTTCTGATCCTTTTTCTCCATTCACAAAACTATCACCTTAGTTCAGGTCCTTATCACAACTTGAATATTGCAATACTCTTATAATTGATTTTTCCTGCCTCATGTGTCTCTTCATTCTAGACCATCCTACATACTGCTACCAAAGTAATTTTGCTCAAGTAGAGATTTGACCATGTCATTCCCCTATTCTAGTGTCTTCCTGTCACCTCTAGAATGAAACACTCTTCACACAGTGCATATAATATAGTCAGCATTTAATACCTGGTTGCTATATATAAAACACTTATCTTGTGTTATTAATGGTCATTTCCAGGACAGCAAAGCAAAAAAATGTAATTCTAAAGAATCATCTTCCAGGTTTTGAAAATTCAACAAGGAGATTTCCCTCTCTAGTCTTCTGTTTCTTTATTATAAAACGAATTTGGATTAATCAGGGATTCTTGATTTGGTTTTTATTGTGGAAACCTTTGTTAGGCTAGTGAAGCCTATGGACCCCTTCTCAGAACAAATATTTTAAGCTGATAAAACAAAATATTAACATATTACAAAGAAAACCAATTATGTTGAAATCTACTTACACATATACACATACCCCTCTATGTCTTTATCTATATATATGAAAACTTCAAGAACCACACATTAAAAACCCTTGAAACTAGACATTCTTCAAATTCATGATCCCATAATCATTATGGGGAAATGGATATGTCTATACTCTTAAATATTCTTAAAATACAACCAAATTGATCCTAATACAGAAGAGTAGCCGTTTAAAATTGTTGGTCAGCCAAAGAAATCTTACTCTAAGCATTCTGCTTAAGGGAGAAAATTCCGAGCCTTGCTACCTGAAGACCCAAGGGCAATTCCTAAATATGATTTCTTTAGCACTCACTGGTAGAGTAGGACTAGAACAGAGATGGTATGTCATCTTGAATAATGGTATATCGGTACACTTAAATCTGGCTCTTTCCTTTTTCTGGATTTTTTTGGATGGGGTAAAAATTCCTAATATCCTCTATATTCTACTTGGTTTCTCAAGGTTTCTCATACTCAGATGCCTCCTAGTTCTGTTATTCAACATAATATAAATCAGTTTACTGGCTGAATTGTCATGAGTATATATCTCAGTTAAAACTATTTCCAAGATCTGATTAAGACCTATTGGCCTGTTCTTTATTATCTGTGAGCAGATTATTCAAACTCAAGACCACCTGCCAGCCCAGAGCCATCTGGGGGCCCCTTCAAGCTGCGACTAGAGAAAAATATGAGCATATATTTATTGTATTCAAAAATACAATAAAAATAGCTTTATATCATTCTTTGTATGACATTCAATCAATATATATAAATACATATATACATATATATACATATATTCAATCACATATACACACGAGGCACCAGGCACTGTCAACTCCTCTTTCCTATCATGTGTATAGATAACTGGCAGTTTGGTTATTAACAGTTTAAATATTGTGGAAACTCCATCATTTAACCAAATTTACTCAAATTAATATTGTCTAATACACATACTGATGGCTGTTTCTTTTCTCTTTGTTACATTAGCAACAAAGACAGGGAGATATGATACGGTAAACTTACCCCTGAATGTTATCAGAGGCCTCACCCCTCTAAAACACTCTACCAAAATCTCCATTGGCTCCACAGTGGTATTGAGAACTGTCTGTTCTAAAATAATGGACTCCCATCCCTCTACGCTCAAAATGCTGAAGCAAGATCAGTTTTGCTTGTTTTGGAACGCCCCATCAGATTTGGAAGCTCAGCACAGCTGCATGCTAGTATTATTATCTGACAAAGCAGTTTGCCTTTGACAAATTTATTTTCAATCCTCATTAGGTGTTACAGCAGTGAAAGAGAGAGAATACAACGGTGACAGAGTACACTTATACTGCCATTATCAAACAAAGTGAAGAGGCTTTGATGAGCATTATTGATTATCTATGTCTTTATAGTAGGTGATTGGAAAATCCACTCTTCTAGATTACTAGAAATTGACTTTCTTTAGCTTCCCTTGGCCACCTGCCATCCCTAGACTTATTTAGCTAGTAAAAGCTATACATCTGATTTAAGGCAGAATAATTGCATGTACAGGTTAAAATAAAAACAACTTAGGAAAACCTGATGTTTTTCTTTTCCAATCAATCTGAGTTTGAGGCAGCTATGTGGTATAAGTGGATAGATTACTGGATGTAATGTTAAAAAGACCTTAGTTAAAATCTCATACACATATTAGCTGTGTGACTAAGTGGGCAAGTCACCTAATGATTAGGTTAGGTCCTAACATCCGCCTGCCTCGTCTCTTCATCAGTAAAATACAGTTAATAATAGTACCTACCTCCCAAGGCTGTTATGAAGATCACAAGAATTAATATTTGTAAGGTACTTAGAAAAGTACCTGGATATAGTAGGTACTTATTCCCTCCCCATCCCTTCTCTCTATATTACAATGGCAGTGAGAGAGGGATAGGGAAAAGAATGACAGATTTCTTTCAAGGGCTGAGAGGGTCTTTAACTGTAATTTTGTTGTGGCTGTCAGGAATTCCCAGTGAAGAAACTTCTTCTCCATTAACGTATACCTGCCATCACTCTAAAACTCTAGAATGTTATATTCATCTGGAGCACTGACAGGTGAAGTGACTTGTCTAGCCTCCCAGAACCAGTATATGCCACAGAAAGAATCTGAACAAAGGTCTGCTTGATTTAGAGACCAGCTCTTTATCTACCAGGCAATCAACTTTCCAGGTAACTACACGGGTTGATAATGAATAAGGTATCTTTCCTCAGGGATATATTTCTACAGATGATTAATTAAAAACGCAAAAGGCTAATGAATTTTCCCTCCTCTCAAAAAACAATGAACAAATTACTAAATCTTCTTTTAAAGTCAGTTTTATGTCTGATTAGAAGCAATTTCTAAACTCTCAATATGCAGATGATAACACATTTGTTGTTGCCATTTGTTTTTTCTAAGAATTCTAACTCAGAGAATAACATGGAGCTCAGAAGTTTAAATAGACCTAGGGTATTGGGTCTATTATTAAAGATGCAACAAAAAGCTTCACTAGTTTTTCTTTTTCTTTGACCAGAAAAATTAAATACTACCTTTTCACTTCCATTACTAGTATACCACATCCACTCCAAAGGGACATAGTTTCTACTGTTACAATTCAAGACAGCAGAATCCCGTTCATAATTCACCAGTGGCTTTTCTTTTGTATAAATTTCAGGAACTAAGGAAAATTAGAAAAAAATATAGTTAGTAAAAATAAATTTAAACAAAATACAAATTTGTGTTTTAAATATTTTCTAAAAGAGTTCTTCTCCCACGTTTCTATGTGATTAATGACCTATAATGTGGAATTTTTGCTTTTTGGTTCCCTATAGCTAGTAAAACAAAGTAATGAAATGCTCATCTACGTTTCAGTTTAACATAGCAAGTTCTAATATAAATCTCATCAATGTTGATCAAGAAAGATTGGAGTAGAATACAGTTCTGAATCAGCATTAGTATGCATTAGATAGAAAAAAGAAATGGAAACTTAAGAACAATGACTAATGAAGTGACCAGTCACTTCCAGAATACTGATGGTAAATCACACTTCCTGCCTTTCAACAAAGAGATGATGGTGCAGAATGCGGCATATATAAACACTGTCTATATGAAGACTGTGCGTAAGGATATAACTATACTTACTTGTTACAACATAAGGTGTTTATCTGAGGGACAGAGTTGGGAGGAGGTAGACGGGAAGTGACAATAAGATACTAAAAAAGCAGAAATGAGAGGAAAGGAGATAAATGAATCAGTAATAATACACAGAAAAGAAAAAAAAGAAGTTCAAAAGGAGACACAGACAAGTAGGTCGGTGTCAGAACTATTTGATTAAACTTGAAATATACAAAACAAAAGCACTCCTTTTTTTCTATTCTTTGTATAGGTAAATGCTTGTCTGCGTCAAGTTAATAATAATAATAAACATAAATTTGAAAACAAAGCAATGGAGAATCAAGAGTTTTGACATTAGGAATAATTTATTCAAAATGATCAGACTTCAAAGAGACCAAGGTTTCTAAATCCTTCCTACTACCTCCAAGCTATCTGTTAATAGGATGAAGACAGGGACATGCTGGTATGAATGTCTGACAACTGGCTCAGTGTAAGGGCGGGTTGGAGTAGGGGATATACAGAATACACTTTTATGTTTAATTTCCATTATTCTTTCCATCACTTTCACAAGTCCAGGCAATCAACAAAACAATGTCAAGCCTTAATTTGTAGCATTTTCCTATTTCTGAGGTGTGAATGAACACACTGAAAATTTAAATAATTGTTCTTGAGACAGGATGAGATGACTCCAACATTCCACTGGATGGAGAAGCAATTAGCCGGGTGAGATCAGTGCACTCTGAGAAGTCTGATTATCTGAATGGTCTTTTTAGTGTGTCCGTATTTGTGTGTTCTACTAGGATGAGATTCATAGGCTGGCTTGAACTAAGGTTTTTAAGGCATAGAGAAGAGATCGGTAGGTAGTGACATGGTTCCATAAAGGCTATTTCACAAAAACAGCAATGTCTGAGAATCTGATTTTGTCCATAGCTATGCAGGTGTGATTCTAAGAATTCTATACACACACACTGACTCACAGTAGTAACTGGCTAGAGATTCATATCAGAATAAAGATGTTGGTGATTCTAGTCACAACAATGAAATGAATCAAGTAGCGTTTAGGGTAGGAAGAACTTCATCAGTTCTCTCTTCACAACGTGTATCTAACTAGAGAGGAGAGGCATCTACATCAGCTTTTTGCATGTGATAAAACAGAAGAAATTAGATTTAATATAGAAATGCCAATCTGTGCACGCATATAATTGAGGATTCTGATGCAAAAGGAGGGAAGAAAATAACACTGGCAAAGACAGAGGCCATAGAACTGAATGCTGAGCTTGCACTTTCAGTTCAAGGAACAATGAAAAGAATCAATCATAACATTATAGGACCATATACTTAAAACTTAAGAGATCTTTGGGCAATCTCACCCAAATCTCTCATTTTGCAGATGAGGAAACAGACCCACAGAAACTAAGTGATTTTCCCAAGGTCATACAGGCAGCAAGGAATGAGGCCAGGAATCTAATGCTGGCCCTTTCATTGCAAATCCAGTACTCTTCCCACTATAGCATCCAGGCTGAAAAATAATGAATCCAAGAAGACTGCCATGATAATTTTATGACAGAAAAGTAAAAAGTATATGTCAATTAAAATTTCTTGAGCATTCACTGCATGAGAAGTTGAACAAGGGGCTAGCTGAAGAGACTTATTCTGATGACATTTGCACAATAGCTAGTATGTTTCTACCTTCTCCCACAGAAGTGAAAATTAGATCTTTCTAAATCAAGGCATTCCTTGACTGCTCCATTGCAATAAAAAGGAATGGAGATGGCAAAAGCTACAGTGGGTCTCAATATCAGCATAGTGCAGAAGAAAAGAAAAGAACACAGGCTAATTTTGACCAGCTGATGTGACCAATAATATTCCAAGAACATGTACCCCATATGCACCGTAAAGGCTAAATTTTAAGCAAGCAGGAACTTCCTATGTCAAGAGATACAATCATTTCTCTCAGATCATCTTTTTCTAATTAATAGAGCACATATTGTGGCAATACAACAGAAAAGGATGTACTTCCCTTACATAATTGCTTGACCCACTTTTGACAAAGGTATTTGTATAGGCTCAGCTCAATTTTCTTCTGCAGTTGCTGTCTGTCAGTTAAAAAGGAATGATTAGTATTGTAGATGGAGGCAACCTGTCAAACTAACATTGGAAGCAGCCTCATGGTCTAAGTGAACAATTTGGCTAAACTGGTACTGGTAATAAAATTCTCTAAAAAATGAGTCAACATAATATGTTTCAGTTTCTTCTTAAGAAACAAGACTAGATGGTTAAAGGTCAAATAGACCCAAGGCCAACACCAGGATGAATCTCAAAACATCTGCAACTATGATGAATTTTATGGAGGTGGAAGCCTTGGGTCACAATGTTCCCTCTTTTGGCACAACGTATGGGGGTGGGGGTGGAAATATTCTAGTCCAGGTGGCATCTTTTGAGCTAAAAGTCATCCCTGGCTCATTAGCAGCTGCATGTTCAGAGTGCATACTTTGGTTATCATTCCCCTTCTGGCATCAACTACCCTCCTGACAGCCAAATACCAAAAGACAGCAGCTTTTTTTGTCATCATACTAATCAGCTAGCAGAGGCCATTTTATAATCTCACAGTAATAAATCATCTCTAGCTTGCACACAGACTGAGACAGTGACATTGTTGCTGAATTGGTCCCAGAACTGAGACTTGTACACTTTGTTTGACTTACACACTTAGTAGCAGACTTCCACTGTCCTATTTAAAACTGAGGTTTCATTAAACGTTCAGGCACAGTACTAGCTCCAACTATTTCAGAAAACGACGTTAAGACCTCTTCTTAGGAGAACTGATGAGTCACATACAATGGGTGTGGAGTAACAAGAAGATTGAGTATTTATAAAATATGCTTTGAAGATCTGATTAAACAACTGCAATATGAATTGTTCTGTGGAAGCCTTTAAATTGTATTCTGATGAAATTAATTGTTTCTTCAGGCAATATTCATTTTTTAAATGACTTGTAGGGCAGGATTCTCTCTTAGGAAAAGAGCTGGAAGGGATACATTTATTAACTTGTCAAATACCTCTAGGATACAGGGTACGCTTAAAGTTGCATTAAAGTTAAATGCACATTAAAAACTAATAAGCCCAATTGAAATGTTTCCATCTAAATTGCAGAAAAGAAAAAAAAAGACACTCTGCTAACAACACTCAGGTATCTTTTTATCCAAAAAACAAAATGCTTGAATAAACCCAATAAACCACAGGGTTTGGGCTGAGGTTCTAGTCAGAAATGGGTATTAATTGAAATAAATCAAAGTGGACAAATAATGAAAAGGTGCCCACTGATATGTAGATATATGTATATGTATATGTGTTTATATATACGTAGCATATGTGCATATAATATATAAACACATATACATATACACACACATACATATACACATTTTATTTGTTGTTTTGGGAAAAACAAGTTTTAAGTATATGGTCCTATAATGTTATGATTGATTCTTTTCATTGTTCCTTGAACTGAGTACTAGAAGATGATGAGATTCAAAGAAAAAAGGGGGGAATTAGTGATCACAAGTAAAAATATCACTTTTAATTATACTACATCATGAATTAGAAATTAGCACTGTCAAAGCAATATTTCTACTTTTTACAAGTGGGACAAAAGCAAGCCTTAATAAAAGAAAAAAGAGGGGCAGCTAGGTGGCACAGTGGATAGAGCACTGGCCTGGAGTCAGGAGGACTTGAGTTCAAATCTAGCATCAGACACATGATACTCACTAGCTGTGTCACCCCGGGCAAGTCACTCAACCCCAATTGCCTCGCCAAAAATAAATAAATAAATGAACTAACAAAAGAAAAAAATAGGTAATGTCTAAATACTTTCTGAACATTTATTCTATTTGTCTCTTTTCTTGAACTTGTTATGATTTATTCCACAAAATCATTTTCTTACATTGTACGTGATTTTTTTTTTAAAGGACAAGGAGGTAGAGAGATCCAGTCACTGTAAGGAATTACTGGTATGAAGATTTTCTCCACCAATATAAGTATTCAACTCTTTTCTAATGAATAGTCCTAGAGTATTTTGTGGGGTACCAAGAAGCTAAATGCCTTGCCCATTGTCATATAGCCAAGATGTATCAAAACCGGAACTTGAATTCAAGTCATCTAAACTCCAAGGCAGGCCCCTTAGTTTGTGTCACTGCCCCCTCATATTAAACATGGTATTTGTGTGTGTATACAACATGTATTTGCATATACATATATAAATACTGTGTGCAGTATATACACAAATATTTGTGTATACATACATACATGTGCATACATATGTAAATTCATTGTGTATATGTCAAATATAATTACATTCTGTTGACTATATCATTTATTCATTAGAAATGTAACAAAACTATGAGGCTTTATAATTCCTAGAACATAATACTGACATGGATAAGTTCTCAGTACTGACCTTTAAAGTGAAATGTGCCTTTTCGTTCCTCTATTGCTTCAAAAACACAAGAATAGTTGTCCATATGCATTTTATCAGTGACTGTTAACCTAGAGAGAATTGAAAGGACGATGTTTGTGCCTTTACACGAAAAATGAAAAGATTTAGGCATAGAATAAAACATAAGCTTAAGCAATGTAAAGATACTATAAAGTGAACGATTAAAGGGGTAAACATAATATTTTGAAATAACAAGTCAACAAAATAATTAAAATTTAGCTAACTTATGCTCATATAACATTTTCTTTCATTTTTTTTTAAAAGTCAAATTATTTGGGAAGGGGAGGGAGAGGGGGAAAATTTTAAACTCAAAAAGCTTATGGAAGTGAATGTTGAAAACTAAAAAATAAACAATTTTTTAAAAAGAAGTCAAATTCTCGTATCACTTACCTGATATGAGCTTGCAGGATATTTTCAAATACTCTCATGCTACTTGTTCTATTGATCTGATCATTACCTTTTGTCCAATATACATTCACATCCGGAGGAGGTCTGGTGGTACTGAAGTTACATTTTAGTTCTATGCTAGTAGGGTTTCCTATTGTCACATTTTTTTCCACTAATGCATCAGATGTTTCTATTAATTAAAAAAGATAAAGGATAAAGATAAAAAAGATAAAAGATAAAGGACAGGTATTGAATACTAAACATTTGTACTAGCTTCAAAATATTGATCACAATTTTATAAGTTTCTTAACAAAACATGGTTTTTCAAGAGTTCTACCACTAAGTTGTTTCATTCACTTTATTTTTCTTTTCAAATTTGAAAGAAATTAATATTAAATTACTAATATGGAAAGTTTAATACAATTGTACATTTATGGAGGGAGGGGGAAATTTTAGAACTCAAAATCTTATAAAAGTGAATGCTGAAAACTAAAAATAAATATATTTTAAAAAAGAAATCAATATTAATAGAAATGCACGGCTATATGCCATAATCCTATAGTACTTATTGCCTTGTTTTCTCAATTAGATTTTAAGCTCTTTGAAGAGGAACACTAAGTTTTGTATTTCCTTTTATATCCATAGCATAATAACTGACACACAGAAGGTGTTCAATAAATATATCTTGCTGGTTGAAGCGTGGTCTCAAAGTATGATTAAAGCAGCATAAAATTTTTCATATAAAGAAAAACTTTAGAGGTGAAACAGAGTTTCTGAATCAATCCCAATAATAGTTTATCTTTTCAACTGCAAAATGGAGATAATAATACTTATTTTAACAACTTTATAGAGTAGTTGGGAAGCTCAAATGAGATGATGTATGAAAAGTGCTAAGCATGATAAAAAATGTTAATTATTACTTCAGCTCTTCTGAATAGTATGAAGTTTGAAACAGAAAACTTACATGTAGCTACATAAGAACTAATTTTTATGATTATTATTGTTAAAGAGAGGCAGGACAAAGTAGTGACTAGAAAGCTGCCCTCAGAAGCAGGAAGAGCAGGGTTCAAAGTTCCTTCTCTGACATTGTATGACCCACTGCATGTTATTTAACCTTTCAATTCTATAGATACCTGTATAAGACAAAAGATGCAGAGAAGGGTCTCCCCTCCACTGGATAATAGGAGTTATGTCAACCAGGAGTTTCCTATATCAATGAAATCCTCATCCTTATTGTTAAAAGTCAGGTCCTTTGAGGGGATGCCCATCAATTGGGGAATGGCTGAACAAGTTGTGATATATGAATGTGATGGAATACTATTGTGCTGTAGGAAATAATGAGCAGGCAGATTTCAGAAAAACCTGTATGAACTGATGCTGAGTGAAGTGAGCAGAACCAGAACAATGTACACAGTAACAGCCACATTGTGCAATGACTGGCTTTGATAGATTTAGCTCCTCTCAGCAACACAAGGATATAAGATAACGTCAAAAGACTCACAACGAAAAATGCTATCCACATCTAGAGAAAGATCTTTGAAGTCTGAATGCAGATCAAACATACTATCTGCTCTCCTTTTCTTTTGTTGTTTTGTTTTGTTTCTTCTTTCTCATGGTTCTTCCCATTATTTCTAATTCTTCTTTACATCATGACTAATGTGAAAATATGCTTAATATGAATGTATAAGTAGAGCCTATATCAGATTGCATGCCATCTTGGTGATGGGGGAGGAGAGAAAAGGGGAGAAAATTTAAAACTCAAAATTTTATGGAAGTGAATATTGAAAACTAAAAAATAAATGAATTAATTATTTTTTAAAAAGGGTCGGGTCCTAAGGGTATGCTATAATCAATGACATTTCTTCTTACATAGATTTTTGAAGCTTTCTGTAATTCTCTGTAAGACTCTCAATTCTCTAAAACACTCTATTCCCCCCCACACACATGCAAATTAACAATAACAATGGACAAGATGTGTGGAAAAGCTGGACAGCAAGTAGCTTTTGTCTAATAGCTTTTAGTGACATCACTTATAAAGACATTTAAAAATTTAAAAAGTGAGAAAATGCTTTCCTGAGCAGCAACCAAGTGTGAAGTTTTAAAAACTGTATGCACAGCTAATTGGAAGTGCTTTGTGGGCAAATGCTTGAAAAAACTGCTTATACAATTCAAAAACAGCTGAATTAAATTTCCTGCTTTAAAAAAGAATGCCTTTGAGTATAAAATAAGGGAGTCCAGAAAGTATCAGACACTAAGAAAAAAATTTGTGGAATCATGATCAATTAAAAACAGAACAGGGACAGCTAAATGTCACAGTAGATAGAGCTCCAGCCTTGGAGTCAGGAGGACCCGAGTTCAAATCCGGCCTCAGACACTTGATACTTACTAGCTGTGCAACCCTGGGCAAGTCACTTAACCCCAGTTGCCTCACCAAAAAAAAAAAGTATATTAACAACTCAATGAATTGGCAAAGATTGCCTATAGTAATTGTCACTTGACCTGTACCTTAAAGAAAGCCAAATCTGTTGGTGTCTGGATAATCTCAAGGATGTAAAGAAACAAGTAATCTTCTATATGATGAAAAATGTTATCCACCTCTAGAAAAAGAACTAAATTTCTTCTAAATGCAGATCAAAGCATACTATTTTTTACTTAGTGTTTTGTGTGCTTTCTTTTTGTCCCTGTTTTCTTTCACAACAGGATTAATGTTTTGCATGACCGCACATGTATAACCTACATCAAATTCCCTGCCTTCTCAATGAGGTGAAAGAGGTGGGAGTAAAAGAATTTGGAAGTCAATTTTTTTAAATGAATGTTAAAAATTTTTTACATGTAATTAGAAAAAATAAAATCCTTTATTTTTTATTTAAAGAATCAAATCAACTAATTGACTTCTGCTCAGCAGGATCACATCAACAAACAAAAGTAATGTTTGAACACTTAACTGTGTATTAAGCATTATGTTTTGGATATAAATGGAAACACCTTCAAAAAGCTCACAATCTAGTTGAGAAAATGAGACTAGAACACATGAATTATTGAATAATGTTATAATTAAGTCTTAAATTTAGTGCTACAAATTAGCTACAAAATCACTCAAGTCCTGAAAAAGACAGATCACTTCTAAAGTAAAAGCAGTTACGTCAAAGTAAAGAGTCCAGGATTTCAAGTGAAAAGGCCTATGTTTTAAGTTGTCTTTCCATTTCATTATAACTAGAAGATCTTGGACAAATGACAAAACTTTTTGGAAGCTCAGTCTCCTTACTTGTAAAACAAGGCTAGTGATACACCCACTTCGTACCTTACATGCATGTAAAATGATATGTAACTGCAAAGTTTTACTTGTGTGGGCTATTATTGTTATCAGTTTTGCTGTTGTAATTCCTAGGATAGAAAGAATAACAAGGGCAGACTAGATCCAAGGATATCAAACTTAAACTGAGCCTTCAAGGATGGGTAGAATTTGGAAAAGTCAAAGTTAGGGATGGGGACATTCAGCATAAATAGCCCATTGGTCCAGAGGCTGGGCATCTTCTGAGTAGTGAAGTGGAACACTAAACATCTGCTCATCAAAAGCAATGGGAAGGGGGCTACCCATGGTAAGAAAAATTATTCCATCATCATCATCCCTTCCCTCAAGCTTTCTTTCCTGACATTCTCCAATGTTTTTTTCATTCCAACAGGAAATGAGAATTTGGGTAGTAATTTTGAGGCAAGATTAAAAATATCTTTTTTTTTCTCCAACAACAATGTCCTTGTATCTGGAGCATTCTCACTCCGAGCCTATTTTCTCTAAAAAGAATTGAAGTGTTAGTTCCGTATAGTAAAATACTCAGTCAAGCACCCACTGGAAAAAGTAGGTTATTAGTGCACAAAAAACCAAACATTCAGAAAGTATACACATAAGACTGAAAGATGAAAAGGCTGTGAAATTGGAAATAGTTATTTTGTAAACTTTGGAAATACAAGGCCTAAAGAACTGAACACAAAGAGGGTGGTACATTATCCTCTTTGGAACAGCTGAATTTCATGGTTTATGGATATAATGGTGTATTATTGTACCATATGAAATGATGAAAGGCAAACTTAGGAAGATTTTTATGACCTGATGCAGAATTAGTAAGCAGAACCAGTAGAACAATTCATATAATGACAAATACACTATAAAGACAAACAACTTTGAAATACTTATAAATTACTATAGTGACTTTGTATTTGACAAGCATAAAGACTTAAGTTTTTAGGATAAAAATTCATTATTTGGCAAAAAATTGTTGGGAAAGCTGGAAAGCAGTCTGGAAGAAACTGGGCATTGAACAAGATCTTGAAGGTCAAAATGGATACATGACCTAGATATAAAGAGAGCTGTTAAAAGAAAATTTGAAGAACAGAAAATGTTAAGGGAACAATTTATGAATAAACAACAGGTCAACAAAATCAAGTCTGATACTAATTTCATATTATCTTCTTCTCTTTTATGTTTTTTTGAATCATTTTAATATTGTTTTAGAGGCAAGAGAGAATCGAAATGCAGAAACCTTCACTGTTATTTTCATAACCATCATTAATGAATATCAAAGGCCTTTACATTTTTCTTTTTTTTAATCTTATTCTAAAATTAAATACTAATTAAAATCATCATTTTTATAAACATTGTAGAACAGAAAAGTAGTGCATGAAATTGCAAACCTATTATGTAGATTTTGTTTTATTTTAAAGTTGAATTATATACTTTAAAATAAATTAAAGTTGATTTATATACTTTAAGATAAGTCTTTAAGTGCTTATTAAGTGCCAGAGATGGTGCTAAGAGGAGAGGATACAAATACAAGCAATTATTATTGTTATTATTATTATTAAACTTAGCAGTGGGAGTCTGTGAGCTGTAATTTCAGAAGTATGGACCCACCAAGGTAAGAACCTGAGGTATCCATCCTCTGGGGGACATGACCAATAAGTGTAAGTAGGAGATAGGTTGCCCCCACCATGCTGCATGTGTAAGTGCTAAGATATATATTACGTGTATATGCACAATATATGTATGTACAAAAGCATATAAATGATATACACAGAAACAGCTACTTATAAAATATATCTAGAATACATGAGAACAACAGCAAAGGTAATATACAAGACACACACAAACTATTTTTCAAATATGCATTTAGCTTTCCTAATGCAAGAAAATCTGGAGAGCTTACATAATGGAGACTACATTTGCAAAATGGTGACTTTTCAGAGAAATTCGGGTTACCTTATAACTATTCAAGTGAAGATTTAAGCCATATTTTTGCTAGAGAAGGTTCTTGGCTCACTGTTTTCCTCTATCTACACTTGTAACAGACATTAAAACATTTTACTCTGTTATTTCTCCATTTTGAAAACTGATTTCAGATGCAAGTATTTTGTCGTTTCGGAGGCAGATGATAAAGTGGTAAACGTTTCTACTTATGTTTTAACAATGTATTTCTACTCTTATTTTCAACAACTGAATAGCAATTGTTAGTGAATGGCAATGAATAATAGCCCAGTTCTTGCACAATCATGTTCCCAGAAAAAAGAACAAAGTAGTATTTCAAATCTTACTGGATCATCAGTTAAAGGGAAGCTGCTGCAATGGTTACACACATTGCCTTAACTCTCATACAAGCTTGCTACTACTATTTTCAAATGATTTTACTAACACAAAGTTAATCCAAACCAATTTAAAAAAAACAACCAGCTAACACAGCCCAGTGCTTAAAGTGAACAGTACGTATTAAATTGAGAGGTTAGACACCTTTTCTCACAGAAGCCCTACTACATTGGTTTACCACACTTTTCCTCAGGACAGGTGAGAAGGGGGCACCAACTTGCTTTCAATTCACCAGGATCCAGACATCCTACAATCATTTTTCTCTAGATTCTCTGCCCACCATCACATCCTGCCTTTTTATTTACCTTTGTTGTTTGCCTTTTTGCCTAATTCTAACAGAAAATGAAGTGGATATGTACTATTGGTTCTAAGTATTATTGATCATATTCCTCTTATAAGCACAAAAGCACTGAGCCTAATATATTTCCTTAGAAGTGATGTTAAACTGGTGTATAGATTATATGCCATACACAGATTCATCCATCTCTTGACATTTGACAAATATTGATTGACTCAGTATATGTATGTGTCTATGTATATATCTATGTATATGTATAGAAGCCACTCTGCTTGGGGCAGTCAAATCAAGATATGGGCCAGTAAAAAAAAAAAATCAAGAGAAATGAGACATATGAATCCATAGGCCTAAACATGAACTTTTTCAAAATGCACGTGTAGATTTCTTTGCTAGCTACTTTGCTCTCCACTCCTCATTCCCCTATTCCAGATAAGTATATGCCTACCTGCCTCCACCTACAGACCCAACTCTACTGTGAGACCAGTTCTAGGCCTAAAGGGGAAGCATAAAAGAAGTCTTTGCTTTACAAAGCCCTTTCTTCACTACAAAGCTCTATTGCCTCTACAACTTCAACATTCCTTTTATTTACACCCTTCACCTATCCCCTAATCTCTTGTTGCTTAGATTATTCTGACTGGATTCCTGATCCCTGAGCACTGCTACCTTAACTACCTGGCCTCTGGACCTCTTGCCTGCTTAGTTGTACAATGGCTGCCTGTCTCTCTCAGGTTTGGCAGATATCCATGGAATTGACTCTTCAACTGCTTAGATACCAACTACTCCTTCCAGTCTTTCATGACCCAGAGCTGCTGGATCTGATATGTCCCATTCAGTTAACACCTTAGTCTTCATTTGATGCATTAGCTATATTGGTAGGTAAGTAGCTGGAAAGAGCTGGTGCTAATTTTGCTGATGAGAGATTGTGCAGGCCGATACATCTGTTTGAAACTCTCAAAAACGGTTTCAACCTAAAGAACCAGCTACCAAATGGCTGGGGTGAGGAGGGGGGCAGGAAGAGAGAAAGAAATTTTTGAAAAGGACAAAGTAAAAATGAAACAACCCTAAAGTAAGTGATTGTTATTATATAAAGAACAATGAGCAGTCAGTCAATAAACATTTATTAAGAACCCATTGCATGAGGGGCAGCTAGGTGGCACAGTGGATAGAGCACCAGCCCCAGAGTCCGGAGGACCAAATCCAGCCTCAGACACATAATACTTCCTAGCTATGTGACTCTGGGCAAAGTCACTTAACCACAATTGCCTCACCAAGAATCTACTGTGTGTCAGCTACTATGCTGACCACTAGAAAAGGAACTCACAGTCTAATGGGGAGAGATGACATGTAAACAACTATGTGCAAACAAGTTATATACAGGATAAATTACAGATAATCCACAGAGGAAAGGCACTAGAAATTAAGCTGGGTCAGGAAAGGTTTCCTATAGAGATGGGATTTTAGTTGGAACTTGAAAGAAGCCAAAGAAGCCAAAAGGCAGAGATGAAAAGGAAGGGTTCTAGGCATAGGGGGACAACCAGTGAAAATGCCCATGGTTCAGAGACAGGGTGTCTTGTGAAGAACAACAAGGAGGCCAGTGTCACTGGATTGCAGAGTATGGAACGAGTGTAAAGGTATAAGAATACCAGAAAGATGGATGCGCAGCAGGTTACGAAGGGATTCACATGCCAGACAGATTTGATATTTGGTCCTGGAAGCAATAAGGTGACAATGAAATTTACTGAATGGGTACAAAAGAGAAGAAATTGTCAGACCAAATACTAAGATAGGAAATTTGCAACCAGCAGCAATTACGTAGTAATAACTACATATGCTATCAAAAATCCGAGTTAAACGATCAGTGATATTTTTATCACTGTGATTTCAGGAAGTGATATCAAGAAGATTATCTGATGTCTATTAAATACATTCAAACAAAATGAAGTAAATAATCAAAATTTGAAAATTTGTCTGACTACATTTAGGTCTCAGCAAATGTAGCTGCTAAAATGGCTTAAACCAATTGGAAGTAACATTTAAAAAAATGCATCACACCATTTGAATATATCAGATAACCAAAACTGCTATTTTTATTTAATGTACTAAAAACCTCTTAAATCCTAATTACTCTTACAGTTAAGAACTGTCATTTTAAAAATTACCCCTGAACAATTAGTCAATAAGCTTTTATTAAACACCTAAAATTATATGCTAGACACAGTGATAGGCATTAGGGATACATAGGAAAAAAAAAGTCCCTGCCCTTACATTCTATTGGGGCAAACAACATGTATACATATAAGTAAATGCAAAAGCTCTACAAAGCAAATTCAATTTAGTTTGGGCAGGGAACACTGACAAGAAGCAATAGCAGCTAGAAGGCTCAGGAAAGGCCTAATGGAGAAAGTGGCACCAGCTCAGCCTTGAAGATATTTTAAAGAATCTGACATTATTGAAATATGGAGACCTAAAGGTTGAAAGAGACAACTACAAGGGAGACGGTGAGGGGGAAAATAATAAATGTGCAATAAATGGTGATATTGTACACTTTGCCCTGTAATTCTGAGAGTTGGAAAGTCTTTTTCAAAGGACCAGAGTTAACTCTCTATGAATACTCTGAGCTATTCAGGTGGTACAGTGCATGGACTTGGAATCAGAAAGATCTGACTTCAAATCCAGCCACAATACTTACTGTGTGACTCCCCCTGCCCATGCAAGTCCCTTAATCTCTCTGTATCTCAGTTTTCTTATCTGTAAAATAAGAGTAATAAGAGAACCTACCTTTTTATGAGGACCAAATGAGTTACTATAGAGGGTGTCCCAAAAGTCTAAGGGCAGTTTTAACCTAGCTTTAATAGTTTAAAACTGCCATAAGACTTTTAGGACACCCTGTATATAAAGTTCTTTACAAACTTAAAGCTTAATATAAATTCTAGCTATTTTTTTTTTGGTCAGTCTGTTCACTTAATGCTTTGATGGATTCAAAGAATCCATGTAGCCAAGACTATAGTACTGAAAATCTGCTTTGCAAAAATGCAGTTGGGCAAAATGTAACCATTTTGCTAGGATAAAAATATGGCTTATAACTCTAGTCATTTCCACTAGAAAAACACAGGGCCAGTGATGTGGCATGGGTTGATTCCCTTATAGGAGTGAAGGTCATCATGGAAGGAAATAAGACACTCAGAGTTTCAGGTGAAAGTGATTGAACTTCTAGTCTTCCCCACCTAAGAAAGAACCGTACGTATTCTTTTAAAAAGTATAAAAATGTTATCTGTAATTCAACTTGAGATTCTTATCAGAAAAAAATAGTACAATGCCACAATGGATGCTAAGTATTTTGAAAACATAAATGCAGCAACATTAATAATTAATCTAATTGCCTATGTTTCATTTTGCCAATGCCAAGTGGATTAAAACTGAAAAAAAAATTACAAAATGTTGTTACATGTACAACACCATATATTTACCTATCACCAACAGGGTCTCTTCCATAGTAATTAACTCTGGGAATGATGAACTTGTCACATTTTCCTCAGCCATTTCTACAGTTCCTTCAGTGACAGCTTGAGCTGTAAAATTTGCATCTATTAGAAATAAGAAAAATATGATTTTGTTAGTCTCCATACCACATGCTGAGATATACCAACTAACTCTGTGAAAAACTGGTTTGTATCAGCTAACACAACACACTGTCTACTACTTAATACACTATGAAGAGGCAGATAGAATGATTAAAAATCGATGTGGGGCAGCTAGGTGGTGCAGTGGATAGAGCACTGGCCTTGGAGTCAGGAGGATCAAATCTGAGTTCAAATCAGGCCTTAGCACTTGACACTTACTAGCTGTGTGACCCTGGGCAAGTCACTTAATCCCAAATGCCTCACCAAAAGAATAACAAATAGCTGTGTTCCTAACAGGCTGGGTTTTGTTTTGTCTAATTCACAGTTAACAAAAATATTTTAAAATAAACTATTTTCCTATAAAAATGATATATATAACTCATCTTAAATAACAACCCTAATTTTTTTTCTGGCCTCCTTGTAGTTATTTCTTTTATTTTTAAATCCTATTGCCTCAATGTAGCCAAGGGTGTGCTGATAAATGTTTAACAATAACTCTATTAAATGAAAATGGTCCAACAAACTTTTAAATTTAATCTGCATTATTAACATTTTCTCCATCATTTTCTGAAATCTAGACAATGAGCAAAAAGAAAATGTATATCAAGCCATGATTTGCAGTATTTGCCTATTTCCCAGGTTTAAATGCTCACATCACAAATTTGACAATTGGCTCAGGTAGAGCTGGCTCCAGCACAAACCTGAACATAACCTACGAACTCAGAATAACAAAACATATTCAGATAATGTTAGGAAGAAAGTAATAAGGAGCAGGAGGGAATAAAGAAAATTGTAGGAGGTAGAAACATTGAGAAGCCAAACAGAGAAAAGGGATTAGAGATCAAATACAAAGTAGAAAAGACTAGCACACCACCAAACTCAGGCCCAACCAAATTAAAATGTAGTTGGGAGATGTTTAACAACAGCAAAAAAAAAAAAATTCTATATTCCCCAGTTGATAAACGATCAAAGGCTAGGAACAGACCGTTTGCAGATGAAGAAATTAAAGCTACATATAATCATATGGAAAATGCTTTAAATCACTATTGATCATAGAGAAATGCACATTAAAACAACTCTGAAGTACCACCTCACCTGTAAGACTGGCTAATATGACAGAAAAGGAAAATGATGATGTTGGAGAAGATGAGGGAAAATTGGGACATTAGCACATTGTGGGGAGAGTTGAGAAGTGATGTGACCATACTGGAAAGCAATTTGGAACTATGCTCAAAGAGCAATCAAATTGTGCATACCCTGTGATGCAGCAATGTCACCGCTAGTTCTATCTCCCAAAGAGATCATAAAAAAGGGGAAAGGGGGGGTAGCTAGGTGGCACAGTGGATAGAGCACTGGCCCTGGATTCAGGAGGACCTGAGTTCAAATCTGGCCTCAGACACATAACACTTACTAGTTGTGTGACCCTGGGCAAGTCACTTAACCTCATTGCCTAGCCAAAAAAAAGGGGGGGGGAAGAACCCACATGTACAAAAACATGTACAGTAGCCCTTTTTGTGGTGGCCAAGAATTGAAAATTGAGAGGATGCCAATCAATTGGGGAATGGCTGAACAAGTTGTGGTATATGAATGTAATGGAATACTGTTGTGCAGGAGAAGTTTCTAACCCCAGAGTGAAGATGTGTCCAGAGCCCACACAACACAGCGACAGCAATAGCAGCTTCAGAAGCTCTCAGCCCAGAGATGGTAAGAGGGCTGGACAACTGCTCCAAAAGAGATTACAGGTGATGGTTCTGGGTATGGCTAGTGCTGATTGGCAACTCTATTGTCCATAAGCAGCTCTGGATTACAGTTCCAAAGCAGGGAGAAATGCCGGTGGTTGGTGACAAAGAAGCAGGGCCCTGGTCACAGTACCAAAGCAGAGAGGAGTGCTAACAAGTACAACTATAGGAGATTGGAAGGCTTCTTGGTAAAGCCAAGAGCACAGACCAGGACCTCTCCTAGGATCACCTCACGTTGGAAACACCAAAAACTTGTAGACGCCTAGAGCTAGCATAGCAACACAAAAAAGCCTGAAGCTTGGCATAGTGCCTCCCCACCCTGAGGTGAGCAGTGCCCAATTTAACATAAAGTTCAAAGTCAAGAAATAGGCAGGCAGGGCAGCTGGGTGGCACAATGGATAGAACACCAGCCCTAGAGTGAGGAGGACCCAAGTTCAAATCTGGCCTCAGACCAGACACTTGACACTACCTGTGTGACCCCAGGCAAGTCACTTGACCCCAGGCAAGTCACTTAACCCCAACTGCCTCTAAGAAAAGAAAAAAGAAAAAGAAATAGGCAGGGAAAAATGAGCACACAACAACAAATTTGACCATAAAAAGCTATTATGGTAGCAGTGAATACCAAGACCAAGACATAAACTCAGAAGAAGATAACAAAGTGCAAATAGCTATAAACAAATCCTCAAAGAAAAATACTAATTTAACCCAAGCCCAACAAAAATTCCTGGAAAAATTAAAGAAATTAGAATAGTAGACGAAAAATTGGGGGGAAGGGGAAAATGAGTGATACAAGAAAAAAAATGATTTTTTTGCCTTTTGGTGAGGCAATCAGGGTTAAGTGACTTGCCCAGGATCACACAGCTAATGTGTCAATTGTCTAAGGCCAGATTTGAACTCAGGTCCTCCTGACTCCAAGGCCAGAGCTCTATCCCCTGCACCATCTAGCTGCCACAATACAAGAAAATTATGAAAAAAGAAATAGCTTGGTAAAAGAGGCATGGAGGATAAGAGTCAAGACAGCAGAGAACAGACATGGACTCACCTGAGCTTTCCCAAATTGCCCTTCAAACAACTTTAAATTATGCCTCAAAACAAATTCTGAAGCAGCAGAGCCCATACAGGGACAAGGTAAAACAATTTTCCAGCACAAGACAAGTTAGAAGGTTGGCAGGAAAGGTCTACTGCATCAGGGTGAATGCAGAACAGGCTGTGCCAGCACAGACCATGTCCCAACAAACCAGAAACTGGCCCTGGGGTGACTTAATCAACCACATCAGCAGCAGCAGCTTCTAGAGCTCTCAGCCCACAGTAGGTAAGGGGGTTGGACATCTGATTAGAAGATTATAGCAGTCCTTTTACTGGCACTGGGTGCAGGACTCTGTTGCACTGCTCATGGTCAGAGCCAGGTTGCAGTCCTGAGTCACAGTCCCAGGATGAGGAGGAGCACTAGCACAGCACAGGTTATGACCCAGGGGAATAGGGACCCTGATCACAGTTCCACAGCAGAAAAGAGAGCCTGTGATCTCTCACAGACTAGAGCACAATTCAGGAGAGTAGTAAACATACCTCTCCTTAGATCATACCACCTTTGAAGAACTAAAAGCTTATTGACCCCCAGAAGTAGCTACTCAAAAAAGCTAAAGCATGGCACAGGGCCCCCTCCAGCCCAGGAGCAAAGCCCTACTTAAATGTAAAGTTAAAAGTCAAGAAATAGGTAGGGAAAATGAGCAAACAACAACAAAAAAGATCTTGACCATAGAAAGTTACTATGGTGACAGGAAAGATCAAAACACAAACTCAGGACAGCCAAAACTGCTACATTTAAAGCCTCAAAGAAAACCACGAATTGGTCTCAGCCCCCACCCAAAAAAAAAAATTTCCTAAAAGAGCTAAAAAATGATTTAACAATAAAATAAGAAAACCCACATAAATCATCAGCATTTCTATATATTACCAACAAAGCCCAACAGCAAGAGATAGAAAGAAAAATCCCATTTAAACTTACTGTAGACATTATAAAATATTTAGGAGTCTACCTCCCGAAACAAACCCAGGAACTCTATGAACACAATTACAAAACACTTTTCACACAAATAAAATTATATCTAAATAATTGGAAAAACATCAGTTGCTCATGGGTAGGCCGAGCTAATATAATAAAAATGACAATCCTACCTAAGCTAATTTACTTATTCAGTGCCATACCAATCAAACTACCAAAAAATTATTTTATAGAGTTAGAAAAAATAACAAGATTCATTTGGAAAAACAAAAGGTTCAGAATATCAAAGTAACTAATGAAAAGAAATGCAGGTGAAGCTGGCCTAGCAATCCCCAGATCTTAAATTGTATTATAAAGCAGCAATCATCAAAACTGCTTGGTACTGGCTAAGAAATAGGGAGGTGGATCAGTGGAATAGATTAAATATGCAAGACACAGTAGTCAATGACTATAGTAATTTATTATTTGATAAACCCAAAGACCCCAGCTTCTGTGATAAGAACCCACTCTTTGAAAAAAACTGCTGGGAAAACTGGAAAAGAGCATGGCAGAAACTAGGCATAGACCCAAATCTCACACCATATACCAAAATAAAGTCAAAATGGGTTCGTGCCGTAGATATAAAGGCTGATACCATAAGTAAACTAGGAGAACAAGGAATAGTTTACCTATCAGATCTATGGAGAACAGAAGAATTCATGACCAAACAGGAGATAGAGAACATTATGAAAAGCAAAATGGATAATTTTGATTACATTAAATTAAAAAGTTTTTGCACAAACAAAGCCAATGCAACTAAGATTAGAAGGAAGGTAGAAAATTGGGAAAGAATTTTTACAACCAGTCTCTCTGATAAAGGCCTCATTTCTAAAATATATAGAGAATTAAGACAAATTTATAAGAACACAAGCCATTCCCCAATTGATAAATGGTCAAAGGATATGAACAGACAGTTCTCAGATGAAGAAATTAAAGCCATCTATAGTCATATGAAAAAATGCTCTAAATCATTATTGATTAGAGAAATGCAAATCAAAACAACTCTGAGGTACCACATCACACCTATCAGATTGGCCAACATGACAAAACAGGAAAATGATAAATGTTGGAGAAGATGTGGGAAAATTGGAACACTAATACATTGTTGGTGGAGTTGTGAAATGATCCAACCATTTTGGAGAACAATTTGGAACTATGCCCAAAGGGCTATAAAAATGTGCATA